TTGGGGCACTCGGACTCCCTGGCTGCCTTTGGATACACTCAAATGCAGAAACTGGTCCTGGTGGAAGCTTGAAGACCCAGCGGACCCCTTCTCGGTCTGGGAGTCCGGAACCAGCTTCCAGTGCACCTACAGCCGTGATGGTGTTTCGCTCTGTTTGTTAACTGCCCACGCGCCGATTCTCTGAGGCCTGTGCCTTTGCGTGCGGTCCCGCTTTAGCCCGCCTGAGCTTTCGGGATCGCCTCTTCAAAGCCATCCGCGCCGCAGCCGGAGAGCTCCCTCTCGACCGCCTTTTGCAGTACGGCTTACAATCTGTGAACAGTTCCTCCTTGGCACATCAGGCGTGCCCAGATTCCATGCCCCTCCCCCACCCGCATCCCCTGCTCTGGAGGCGGTGAGGTTTATCCTTGGGTCTTTGTCTTTAAGTAGTGAACCATATACCAAGCCTGTGTTTCTGGGCGACATTTGTTGGGACTAAAGTTCAATTCTCTGTCCAGATCTGTAAGATAAGGACTTTCTGTTAGAACCTGTAAAGAGGTACTTGAGAAATGTCCTGAATCAAAAGAATGGAAACTTTTCAATTGATGACATGGAGTCTAGACACACACACACACACACACTCTCTCTCTCTCTCTCTCTCTCTCTTTGTTCCCTGGAACTAGCCGTCTACTTTTTGAGGACATAATAAACTCTGGCAGGATGAACTGTCCTTTGCAGTGAGGGAGGGGTCAGTCAGAGGCGATGAGAGAGGCAGGGGAGAGGCCAGGAGGCCTCGTTCAACCTAATAGCTTACTGACTCCTAATATTCACAGCTTTCAGTTATTCTTAGATAAGACAGGGGTAGACAAAAGTATAATTTAATACGTGTGTCCATCAGAGAATATGGAATCCTTTGTGCTTGTGACAGGTCCTGAAAGAAATAAAAAAATGGTTGTAAAATACTATTAGTGCCCACAAGACAGAAGGAGGAAAACTGATGTTTATTGAGCATCTGTTGTACCCAGGCGTTCCGTGCATTGTCTCACAGTAATTCCATGAGGCCCTTACTGTTATTGTCCCTGGTTTACAAATAAGGAAACTGAGGCTTAGAAAGATTGAATAATCCTCGAAAAGGCACACAGCTAGCAAGTGCAGAGCTTGAACCAAAATCTGTCCAACTCAAAGTCCATGTTCCCATCCTATTTACCATGCTGTCAGTGGAAAGTTTATAATTCAGTTGGGAAAATCAACAGTACCACATGAACCAGTCAAAAACTAACCTGTGGGATTATATATATATCCAACTTTGAATGCTAGAGTTACTGGGGAAAGTTTGTGAAGGAGATTGAATTTTAGTGTTACTATTTGATTATTTTACCCTTTTTTGACTCTTCTTATGAACATGTTGGAGAATCCACATGTAAATAATTGTTTAGCAACAGTTACTGAAGGCCTTTATAAAAGCAGCAAACATAAATCATCGGCTCATATCATGCTTCAGTGGTATGCAGATAATTTTCTCTTGGGACCTTCTATACTGTCACAAACACCGAAGTCAACAAAGACAGCACTTAACATTTCTAATACCTGTTAGGTGCCACATCTTTTACAACAGATGTATCCTGCCAGTCTCTTCCCTCTTCCTTCTGTACCTTTGTGCAATGTAAATTGAAGAGCAGTACACACCACTCCTTGTTTCTCTTCACTGTGGGGCAAAATGCTAGTCTTTTGAGGCATGTTTAAACATGATGAGGCTCATTTAAGAGGGTCAGATTATATCCACCAATCCGCAGAGCAGGAGTTAAAAGGAGGCCCACAACCAAAGAAGGCGTAGTATTTTTCTTATCTTGTGAAGACAACCATGTCCCTGTAGGCCCTGTAGTGTAAGAGCTGCAATAATGAATGATATACCTTATATACATACGCATAAAGCCCCCTACCTTTTTGTGAAATAAACTATTCTTTGTCTAAAACCTGAAGTTTGAGAAACTGTGGTGGAGAAATGTCCACAGCCACTATGTTCTCAGCTCTAGGTTTCTAGCTGTGTACTCATCCTCCATGAGATGTGCCCACGGTCATTTCAGACGTCAGTCATTTGCAAGCGTTCTGCTCCCTCCCAGGGATACAAGAGTGTGCTTTGGATTCCTGCGGACAGCAGGAAGAAAGACATAGCAGCAGCCTCTGACCTTTCCTCCCTCTTATGTCAGCAGGGATGAAGCTGACATTTCGAATATGTGGTTTTCAGAGTTCTGTTGGGAGGTGATAGCAGGAAGGTGGAGATGGCTGCTTACTGACTGTTCAGTCTTTTTTTGATCTGTTGGAGGCTCTCTGATGGTATAGGAATTGCAGTGAAAATTTAGTATCAATACATAAACATTGTACCTTAAAGATTTTTTTGTCACTCAAAATACTCAGAATCCTTAATTGCTATTTGCTTACATAGAAAACTAAAATGGTCCTAGGAAAGAAAGGATAGAATTGGAGCCTGGGAAGGGGTCATCTGTTTTTTTCTCTCTTTTCTGTATATGGAAGAGGTGGGAGTTCCCCTAATACAGAGGAAGTTGGAACAGGAGGGTCAAGCTTTTACTGAGTGTGGGGAAGTGGAGGAAAATAAAGTGAACTGTCTAGTAGTTTTCATTACTCATTTTTTTTTTAATGTATTCTGCAGATACTTTGGTCAGTGAGCACATCGCAGCATGTTGAGTCAAATCTGCCGCTCTGGGTGCCAGTCCTTCACCCAGCGTCTTCTGCCCTGGGTCCAGTCCACAACACTCTCCAGATCTCGTAGGTACCATAGGAAACATAAGTATGTGGGAAGTTTGGTCAGAGTGTGTTTCAAACAAGGTTTTAAAGAGGGAAAAAAGAAATAATTTGGCAGAATCAAACAAAGACGGTAAGCAAAGAAACAGTCTACTGGTGAAATGTTCTAAGTGTTTGTATTTATCAATAAAATGAAACTTTTGGAGGGGATAGATAGGTTTATGACATAGATTATGGTGATGGTTTCACAGGTATATACTTAACCCGCAAACTTGTCAAGTTGTATACATTAATATTGTACAGCTTTTTGTATGTTAAATAACTCAAAATTTAAAAAAAATTTTTTTAAATAGTGTTATGTTTATTTAATCCCCTCAGATTTTTTACAAGCTGTTTTTGTTCATTCCTTTTTTTGTATTAAGTGTTTAATTTTGAGATAATTATAGATTCATTTGCAGTTGTAGGACCTACAATACAGAGAGATCCTTTATACCCTTTTCTCACTTATCCCAATATCTCAACCTGGATATTAATGTGAATAGTCAAGATAAGAAGATTTCCATCACTGTAGGATCCTTCAGGTTTCTCTTTTCTAGCCATCCCCTCTTTCCTGTCCTAACCCCTGGCAACTTCTACTCTGTTCTCCATGTTTATAATTTTGTCATTTCAAAAATTATATATATATTTATATATGTATAGTTATATAAGTGAAATCATACAGTATGTGACCTTTGGGGGTGACTTATTTTATTCAGCGTAATTCTCTGGAGATTATCTAAATTGTTGTGTGAATCAGTTTGTTCCTTTTTATTACTGAATAATGTTTAATGGTGTGAGGGTACCACAATTAGTGTGACCTATTAAAGGACATCTCGTTTCCATTTTTTGACTGTTATAAGTAAGGCTGCTAAGGAGTTTGTTTGTTTTAATTGAAGTATAGTCAGTTACAATGTGTTAGTTTCTGGTGTACAGTACAATGTCCCAGTCATGCGTATACATACATATATTTGTTTTCATATCCTTTTTCATTAAAGGTTTTTACAAGATATTGAATATAGTTCCCTGTGCTAACAAGAAGAAATTTGGTTTTTAGGACTTTCTGTGAACATAGTTTTCATTTGTCTGGGATAAATGACCAAAAGTTCAATTGCTGGGTTGTGTGTTGCAAGTGGTAGTTAGAAACTGCCAAACTTGTTTTTGCAGAGTGGCTGTACAATTTTACATTCACACCAGCAGTGTGTGAGTGATTGATCTTCTCTTCATCCTCACTGGCACTTGATGTTGCCACTCTTTTTGATTTTATCCATTCTGATGAGTGTGTAATGATACCTGACTGCAGTTTTAACTTCCTTTTCCCCAATGGCTAATGATGTTGAACATCTTTTCACGTGCTTATTTACCATCTGTATGTCCTCATCAGTGAAATGTCATTTGCTCATTTTTAATTGGATTGTTTGTTTTTTACTGTTGAATTTTTGAGAGTTTTTAATGTGTTCTAGATACTAGTCCTTGCTCAGATGTGTGGTTTGAAAGTATTTTTCTCCAAGCTCATAGCTTGTTATTTCAGTCTCTTAACAGGGTCTTTCACAGAAGAAACTTTTTGGACTTTAATGAGATCCAATTTATCAGTTTTTCCTTTTATGGATTGTACATTTGGGGTCAGATCTAAGAACTCTGTATAGCCTTAGATCCTGAAGATTTTCTTTCTCCTGTTTTTTCCTAAAAGTTTTATAGTTCTACATTGAAGTCCATGATCCATGTTGAGTTAATTTTTGTGTAAGGTGTGATGGTTAGGTTAAGGTTCATTTTTTTGCATAAAGATGTCTGGTTCCAGCACCATTTGTTGAAAGGCTGTTTATGATGTTTTGAGTTGCCTATCTCCTTGATAACACCTAAATGTTATCAACAGTCTGTCTCCAAACCTTGCACCAAGAGAACTTGCTTATCAACAAATCAAGCTTATCATCATTGGAAAAATCTCTGTGTCTCCTTCTTGTAAATAAGAGTGTAAAGGTTAAAAGTTTAGGGTCTGGCACTAGGCTCCCTGGATTTGAAAATTAGCTCTGCTGCTTTCTTAATAAATAACTTGGTGACAGCAGCTATGGATTTAGTTCACAATTCCATGGGTTGGCATTTTGGACCATGTTCAGCTGCACAGTGGTTCTGTGTCTGTCAGCTCTCACATTGGCTCAGGGTTGATTGTTGAGGGCCAGGGAGTCCTCCTCTACTGGGATAATAGATCATCTCTGTTCCACATGGCCTCTCCTCAGGCCGGCTACCCATGGCTTCTTCACATTGGTGCTTCTCAAGACCAGCAAGACTGGAAACAGCAAGGCCTTTTGAGGCCTAAGCTTGGAATATATACAGAGTTCGACTACGTTGTATTGGTTTTAGCAAGTCATAGGGCCAGCCCAGATTCATGGAGTGGGAAAATAGACTCCACCCGTTGATGGGAGGATTCAAGTATTATGGCCATTTTTATCATCTGGTAGTGTAGGTGAGTTATTCAACTTCTCTAGGCCTCAGTTTCCTTATTTATAAAATGAGGCTAATAATAATAACTAACTCACAATAATACCTAACTCATGTGCTTGATTCATGAGAATTCAGTAAGATGGCGACAACGATGATGATGATGGTAGCCATAGCTAACACTTTTTTATAATACCAGCTAATCTTTATTGAGTGTTTACTTTGTGCCAATAATTAACCCATTAACTCATCTCCTTCCCCACAACAACCTTACGAGACAGGTGAAGTAACAGCAAGTAAGTGGAGGGGTTGAGATTCCAACCCAGCCGTCTGGCTCCAGAGCCTACACTTGTGCTTTTATGTATCCTCTGCCTCTGTGTAAGGTGTCTGAATAGGTGACACAGCTCCTGGTGTAGAGTAAGTATTCACCTCAGTATTTTCATTGTTGATGTTACTGTTTATTCTCACTAGCCTCATTCACAGAAGAAGGCACTTCCTGACCTTGTCCCTGGGATTTTTTGTCTTTGTGTCCAATTTCTCTGGAGCCTGGAGCCCTGTGTTCACTGTCCATGATAAGCACAAGAGCAGAAAAGAAATAAAAAAGGCAAAGTGAGAAAGCATAGATAGAAAAAGAGGGAAGTGGAAGGCCAGGAAGGGAGATAAAAACCATATCAGGGTCCCTTCTTGTTCAGGCCTGGAACACAGCCTCATTGATTGCTGAGCTGAAGGACTGATGCTGGAAGGGTAAAGGACTTCTCTTCCCTTGGAATATGACCTGAGGCACTTTTGAGGAATACAGATAACCCTCCCTCTTCCCCCAACACGTGTGCACACACATGCACCTCGGTATCCCCTCATACTTTACAGGAGAGATGGCTTTTCTTTGAGACTTAAAGCCTAAAGGTTCCTTAGAAGATGAGAAGAGATTACCCATCCAGAAGCCTTGGATTTTTCTTAGCTAATCAAGGCCTTCTCAGTCCTTAATATGGACCTTAAAAAGTATAATACACTGAAGAAGGTAAAAATGCCCTCAAGAAATGTAGAGTCAATCTGGGGGGATGAAAGCATTGTTGAACAGGAAACCCAGCAAAGCTCTGGACCCCATAGAGCTCTCCGAGATGCAGAACCCGCTAGATGTCACTGAGCTTTTATTTGCTTGAAATCTTGTTCCTCTTGAACCTTCTCATCCCTGATCTTCTGTGACCCAGTTGCCTGCCGCCAGAACAACCCTTGACTGCCTGGCACCAAGTGCCCAGCCTCCTCTGCTGATACAGACTGGATCAGGAGTCTCATTCATGCTAACCTGGCCTGCTAGATTCTGATTGGTTTCTGCCATTTGATCACCTGGACTGACCTACTTGCCACTACCCGTGTCCCTGAGGTGCCCTCTCAGGCTGCCCCACCCATGCTGAGCACTTTTTGAGGACAGGACATGCCCTACAGTGCACAGGAGAGAAATGTGGCCGGCCCAGTCGTGACAGCTGTCGATGGGATATGTGGTACTTGGGTACAGCCCTGAGTTCTGCATACAGCCACTGGTGTTCCCGGGGCCAGACTCCAGGGAAATCTCTCCCTCTACCACCCCTCCCTCCATCAAGTCAGCAAGGCCAGAACCATCGTGTATGTAACTTTTAAGCTTAGACTTGGGCATCTGCATTACTTAGGATAATATCCCTAAAGGGGCTGGGCCAGTGTACTTACATTGGTGAACCTTATGAAGAAAGGCAGCTCTCCACGGAACTTAGCCCCAACAACATGCCAGTCCTTCAGTCCCAGGGACTCCCCCAGCAGGAACAGGTCTAGCAAGGGCACCAAGCCCCAGTTGTATCCCAGAGGATGACTTAATGAGCAGCTTTCTGCCGGGAACTAGACTGCAAGCCTCTTGCAAAAAAAAAGGTCTATATCATCTTATATCTCCAACAGACTTGAAACACAGTCACTTAAGGAAGTGGTTATTTAAGAGAGGAAAGAAAACATTCTTTACGACTTCATTTTAAATGGTCTTTCTAAGATTTGTATGTGAAGGAGGCAGAGGAGGAGGAGAATACACATGATCTTCTGGTCTGCGACAGTAGGATTCCACCTGCTTTACCCACCATTGTTACAGTGTAGAGAAAAATGACAGATGCTGCATTACAGTTTAGGGAATCAGTGGTCAGGAGATAGAGGTCTGGGTAGAGAAATTCTTAAAATGTCTGTAAATATAGAAGGAGGTGATCATGGTTGATTCAAGTGAAGAAAGTTACTCTATGATAGTATAATTATAGGAGAATGGTCTGAAAGTGGCTGGGAATGATTATTTAGTAAATCATTCCAATGTTTATTAATGTCTGTGGTGATACATAGAGAACTCTTTGAGGGGGAAATGCCTAAAGTTTATTCCTGCTGAGAACTTGTGTTCCCCATCTTGTCTTGCTTCTTGGGTCCAGCACATCCCACCAAGCAGAGGTCCATCTGCTGTGAGTGAGCCCACCCATCAATCACCAACGTCCACGGCCAGCTCGGCCTCTCCTGCCCAGGCCTCCCTGCCCTTCCGCCTGCACACTCATCCTCCTGTTCAGTTAGAGTCGGTCAGGTGCACGTCACAGAAAAGCCCAAATATTGACGGCTCAGACAGGACAGCAATCTGTTTCTCTCTCCTTCTCCTGAAAGAAGCTGGGGCCCTGAAAGAAGAGAGGCGGCCCAGGGCTCCCTGGACAGAGCAGCTCTGAAATCCTCAGGCTTCCACGTACCTTCTTGTTGTGTCACGGTTCTTCACGTGTTTTCTTGTAGTTGGAAGTGGATGTTTGAGTTCCAGCCTTGCACCCATGTTCCAAGCAGCAACATGGATGAAGGGAAGCACTCTTCTTTTTTTTCTTTTACATTTTTCATTCACATTTAATGTAATTTCAGTCAAAAAGGCTTCAGGCAGCATCAATAGGTAACAGAGCATTGGGTAAGAAGGAGAAGACATTCTAAGACACAGCATGGTTCTTCCATATGAAGTAACTCTGGGGCTCTGAGCTGCTAAACCTTGATTTATTTATCTAGAAATAGACAATAGCCATAAGTTGGCACAAATGAATGTGGCTGGTGGCAGCTTGAAATCAGGCAGCTGTGGGGTCCAGTCACACAGGAAACACTTTTGTTTTTAAGGAAATTCCTAGAAGTCCCACATTTTCATGTGTATCTCATTAACCAGAACTTAGTCACATGGCCATACCGAGCTGCACGAGAAAGTCTGGGAAATGTAGTCTTCTGACTGGTGGCAGTGTGCTCTGCTAAAACTGGGAAAGTCCCTGAATTTGTGAGAGAAAGGGCAAATGGGTAGTTGGTAAGCAGTCAGCAGGAAGAATTGGACGCATGAGACATTGTGAAGTGGTTCGTGCCTGACACTCAGCGCTGACTGTTACGTTTTCAGCTTTTTAATTAAGTTTGGTTTTTTCTTTTGTTTTGGGTTTTTTTGGGGGGGGAGTCTTTGTGGGGGAGGTGGAGGCCTCTTTAGAAATCTTGTTCAGTGTTACAAGGAAAAGAATCAGGAAAGGATTGATTAGGGGCAGATGTCCAAAGGGATAGAAAGAAGTATCTGACTCCAACCTTGCTTTTCTTTCAGGAAGCTATCCAGTTTCTTTATTATTGTTAACAAGCATTTCATGCTGCCATGTTACAAATTTTAGGTAGATGAGTTATGATTTTTTTAATTACTTATACCAATTACTTCACTCTGTATTGTCTTAGCTAATCAGACTTACTGTCTTTTTATAGTGGTGTGGTTTCTTTAAAAGCACACATGTATATATGCACCCCAGTGTTCATAGCACTATTTACAATGGCCAAGACATGGAAACAACCTAAATGTCCCTCGACAGATGGCTGCATAAAGAAGTTGTGGTATATTTCTACAATGGAATACTACTCAGCCATAAAAATAATAAAATAATGCCATTTGCAGCAACATGGATGGACCTGGAGATTGTCATTCTAAGTGAAATAAGCCAGAAAGAGAAAGAAAAATGCCATATGATATCACTTATATGTGGAATCTTGGGGGAAAAAAAGACAAATGAACTTATTTGCAAAACAGAAAGAGACTCAGACATAGAGAACAAATGTGGTTACGTGGAGAGGAGGGGGTGGGAGGGGATAAATTGGAAGTTAGAGATTTGCAAATACTAATTGATATATATAGAACAGATAAACAAGTTCATGCTGTATAGCACAGGGAACTATATTCAATATCTTGTAGTAACTTATGGTGAAAAAGAATATGAAAACAAATATATGTATGTTCACGTATGACTGAAGCTTTGTGCTGTACACCAGAAATTGACACAACATTGTAAACTGACTATACTTAAATTAAAAACACATATATATATATGTATATATATATATATACACACACCCCCAAAAGCTGATTTCACTGATTATGAAAGCAGTGCATTTTTACTACATAAATTTGGGAAACATAGACAAGAATAAAGAAGAAAAATAAAATCACCCATAATCCTGTCATGAGATAAAATACTAATGTTTTGATTTATTTTCTTTATCTTTTTTATTATGCATTTAGACATGTGTATGAAGCTAACATATCACAAGCATTTTACTATCTATTAAAAATTCTAAAAATGTTAATCTTTCTGCCCTTTTTTTGACATTTACCCTACCTCTGATTTTTCCTATTATAACAAACGTGATTAGTCTTCTGATAAATATCTTTGTCTCCATCTCTGATTAATTCCTTAGAATAAATTTCTGGACATGGAATTGCTGGATCAAAGATGTGAACATTTTTAAGGCTTTTGATTTATTTTGCCAATGCGTCTTCAGGAAAGATTGTCTCATCTAAACTCTTTACCAGCAGTGTCTGAGTGCACCTGTGACCTGTGTGCTGGGTGTAAACGCCACATAATGCTAGAATAAAACATGCTAGATGTGGCTTTTGATATGCAGGTTTTACTCAGTTAAGAATGATAAAGCTATTTTTTTGGTGACTAAACTGGTTACTATTACTAATACATCTTTTTAATGAGAAGTTATATGTTGTATTTCTCTTTCTTTTCTTGCATTTGACTTGGGGGGGGGGCTACAGATCGTGTCCAGCCTTCAGCCACGGGACATGTTCGTTCTTGGAGCAACATCCCCTTTATCACTGTACCCCTCAGCCGTACACATGGCAAATCTTTTGCCCACCGCAGTGAGCTGAAGCATGCCAAGAGGATCGTGGTGAAGCTCGGCAGTGCCGTGGTGACCCGAGGGGATGAATGTGGCCTGGCACTGGGACGCCTGGCATCTATTGTTGAGCAGGTAATCACCAAGATGGAAAATCCAGCTGAACTAAAACAAAATCAGCTTTTTAAGCTGTCATTTCAGGTTTCTGAGTTTGTAAAATAACCTTCATTTGAGTGTGGTAGATTTAACCCAATCTGAAAACTCCCTTTCTCAATGAAGGCGCCACAGGGAGACAGCAGCTCAGGGCAAGCAAAGGGGATGTCAAGGAGTAGAGTTGATTTCATGTAGTTCATCCCTCAGGCGATGCTTCCTGATACTCTAGTGGTTAGGATTCGGTGCTCTCATCCCTCAGGCTTCTTAGTGATAAGGAGCTGTATGGGTCAGTGACTTTTAATCCTGGCTGCACTCTAGAATCACCTGAGGGGCCTGGAGATGCCTGGGCATCATACTCAGCCATTTAATAAGTATCTCTGGCATGAGGCTCAAGCATCTGCGTTTTTCAGGTTTCCCAGTTGACTCATATGTAGTCAAGGTTAAATACCTGATGAAATTGTGTACATATTGAGCTATTTCCCCCTGTTTTGATTGGCTTTATCTTTTTTAATTAGCCCAATAATCTTGAAATAAATATGAGCTATTGTTTAAAAAATTTCCTAAATTTAGGTATTTAAAAGCTTACCCGACTGCATGGAGAATACCCTGTAAGGCTTTCATTTGAAAGCAGAAGGATACAAAGCCACAAAAGAGAGAATAAGTAAGCACTGAGGGTCTGAGAGACATCCTGTGCACAAGCCCCCCAGGGTCTTTATTCATACAGGGACCATACCCTGTCTCCAGGTTAAATCACCAAGAGATGTGTGCAAGGAATCTTGGCTTTGAAGGGACTCAAAACAGAAGTTTTCAGTGGGGATTTTATGCCCCCACTGGCCATGCAGTCAAACAGGCTATAGTTTATCAGTAAAGAAACTGATCTTGAGGGGCCAGCGTGGGAGTTTTGGACTTTAAACATCACATCACAAATCCTACTACCCTTATCTTTTCTAAGAGCAGGGATCAGCAAACTTTCCCTGTCAAAGGCCACATACTAAATATGTTATCTTCTTTAGGGCATATGGTCTCTGTCTCAACTACTCAGCAATACTGTTGTAGCACAAAAGCAAACCTCAGACAATATATAAATGAATAGTCATGGCTGTGTTCCAATAAAACTTTATTTGCCAAAACAGATGCAGGTCAGATTTGACCTGCAGTCCGCAGTTTGCCAACCCCTGACCAAGAGTCAAAAACCAGACATCCAGGTATCCTGGATATAAAGCTGGAGCCTTTTCATTCTAGCTGTGACTCAACTCTCTCTTCCATAACCACATTTTCTATTTTTAAAAAACAATTTTACTGAAGAGTTGGTATGAGAAAGCTGCTAACCTAAAACCTGATGGAATTTTCTTCATTTAGTTTCTGTACTTAGCAATGATCAGATTTGCCTCTCAGATTGAGTCCATCAGATCAATTCAGTTTAACAAATATTTATCAAAGGGCTACATTGTAAGGGTCTTAACTAACCTCTAACTGTTGTCTCTGTCCTTGGGAAGCCAGAACTGGGACTCCCAAAATAATAAGGTGGTTGTTCAAGGCAGTGAATATCCAAATGAGAAGGCCCAAATGACAATGACTGATAGTTCCAGAGATGGTGAAATCAAATGAGAGTGTGGTCATTCTTGGGGCTTTCTAGGAGAGCTGAAACTCAACATGGACCTTTGTGACTGGTAGGATTTGCACCAACAGAGGGGAAGTGTTCCATGTTGCTAAGTGCACACTGTAAATGGTGCCCCTAGAATTGTGCGGCCCAGTGCTTCTGCGGAATGGGGAGGCTCTATGAGTGAAGTCCAGATGGGGGACAAAAACAGGAATGAGTATGGCACGCTGATGGGCCAGGGAAGAGGTAAACTTAAAGGTGATGATGGTGATCTCATCAGGGATGAATGGGAATAAAGTGTATCGTTCTTTAGGCAGGGCTTTGAAACCAAGTAGAAGATTTCAGGTTCAATCTCAAAAACAGACTGAATGTTTTGAGCAGAGGAGAAACTTGATGAAAACAATGGGGAGAATCTGGTAATGGTTTGCTTAGGCGACCAGCTCTCCTTTTAGGGACACCCATGGACCTCATGGAAGGGTTTTCTAGATCAGGGCAATACTAATAGCTAGTCAGCTGTTGTGTCCAAGGCATCTGATCACAGTACATAGACTCAGGAGCCAACTTCAAGTGGCTTCGATTGACCAAAAGTGGGAATATCTGAACATTAATAAAGATAATTGCTACACTAAATTTAAACACAGGAAATATGTTTAAATCCATGAATCACAATGATACTTCAAAAAAATTCGTCGGTCCTCTTTGAAGGATTCTAGAGAACCTACTCATTATTTTGGAAACTGATACATAAAGGAAAAGAGACACACATTTGTGCTGCCTTTCATATACATAGTGTACCTCAAGGTAACCAAATAGTTAATGAGAGAAAGTTTTCCTTTATGGAAGTACTCTAGCCTGTGAATAAAGAGGAAATGAATGAGTTAGAATATCAGCGTCTTGTAGCCCCTAATGAATTAATAGCCTTGGTGATGCATCAGCAGTTGCTAACATCACAAAAAGAAAGACAGCCAGGCCTTATGAATCTCCTTGATGGACAGCATGAGCTTAAAGAATTCTTGAGAAAAAAATCAAGCCTCCATACCTAACAGCGGTTTATAGAGTACAGCATTAAATGGCACCATAGGGACACAAGCAGGAAAATTGAGGCTGAGAAACCCTAAAGGACAGATAACTCTGTTTCTTTAACAAAAAATTACACGGGAAAAAAATGATAGTGGGGGACCTATGGATTAAAAGTGAATTAAGGGACATTTCAACTGATGGCAATGTATGGGCTTAATTTGTATCACAATTTGAGCAAGCTCAAAAAATTGGAGAAATGTGAACATTGACTGGATATTTGGTATTAGGGAATTATTGAAATATTTTAGATAATAATAGGTTTGTGGATGTATGCATATCTATAATTTTTTTAGCAATTACTGCTGAAGTATTTACAGATGAGATAATGTGTCTGGAGCCTGGGATTTCTATTAAAATAATGATGGGACTGTAAAAGGAATATTTGAGAGTGAGAAATTGGCCATAAGACATAGTTGTTGGAGTGGGTGATGAGTATGTGGGGATTTGTAATTTGATTTATGCCACTTTTGTTAAGTATGAAATTTTCTATGATAACAAGTTATTTTTTTAGATCATGGTTTATCATAGCTGTTTCTGAGTTCCTGAACCATGTTATAGGGTTCAAGCATCAGGAGGAGTGGACAGGTTAGGAATTTTTTATTTTTTTCATGTGGACCTGTCCGAGGTGGGAAACGAAATGATCACAGCTAGATCTAGGCAAACCGCAGAACAAGGTCAGCATCTGTCCCTGGTCCTGCCAGAGGCAACCCGTGAGAATCAGACATGCCCCAGAAACAGCCTCATCTCCCCAGGTCATACCTTAGAATGTGAGAAGCCGTCTGCTAAGTTTACTTGAAATTCCTGGCTCCAGACTCATGTTCTTGGCTTTGTTTCCTGAAACAACTAGGTTTTCTGCATAATAGGCTTCTCCAGATACCTCCAGGTCCTGTGGATGGCAAACCTGGCTACACACCAGAATCCTGTTATTAAAAATTTCTTGTTTCTATCTGTCTCCTACTTATCAGATTTGAGGAAGCATGTAGAACTCTGTATTTTTCCCAAAGAACCTGGGTGAGTCTTCCCAAGCCAGCCCACTGCTGGTCTATAATCCAGCATTTGGGATCCACTCATTAGTTCCCCCTACTTGAATCTCTTGTGATGAGAGGAAAAACATATGATGGTGACTTGTGCCTTTTCCTTCCTCACTGCCAGGTTTCAGTGTTGCAGAACCAAGGCCGAGAGATGATGCTGGTAACCAGTGGAGCCGTAGCCTTTGGCAAACAGCGTCTGCGCCACGAGATCCTTCTGTCTCAGAGTGTGCGGCAGGCCCTGCACTCGGGACAGAACCAACTGAAAGAGATGGTGAGTGCTGCTTCCCCACCTCCGTAGCAGGGTCCTTAGGCCTCCTTCCCTCACCCCCAACCACACCTTGTCTTTTGGTGTGTTACAGGCAATTCCAGTCTTAGAAGCCCGAGCCTGTGCAGCCGCCGGACAGAGTGGGCTGATGGCCCTGTATGAGGCCATGTTTACCCAGTACAGCATCTGTGCTGCCCAGGTGAGGGGCTGGCCTTCACAAGGGGGTGTGGGGCCTGTGAGGGTGATGCCTGTGGAGCAAGGTGATTGCGAGCAGGGAGCCAGACTGCCGAGGTACAGTCCCAGCTTCACCACTTGCTCGTTGGGGTAGCTGGACAAAGGCTTTAAATCTATCCTCTTTGTGCCTCAGTTCCTCATTTGAAAAACGAGGATATTATCAGTGCCACTGCAGAGGGGTTTTGGAAAGACTCAATGAAAAAAATGCATGAAAAGCATTTAATGTAGTCTGGTACAGAATACCTTCCCAGTAAGTGTTCGATCTTGTTAGTGTACTAATAACTCTTAGGAGTGCTGCCACTTCTGAAGATGGAAAGGTTTGATGTCTGTATTTCATTTGCTTCTTTGGCTTTAGGTGGCTTGTTTCTCTGCACCTGATCGCCTTATTTGATAGATATCTATTAAGCATTGAAGGGAAATGCTGGTGGGTGGTTTTTAATTCATTTAGCAAGTGTTTGCTGAGAGCCTTTGGTGTGCCAAGGAATGTGTTAGACGTTGGGGATACTGGTGAACAAACAGGCCCTGCTCAGGTCGTCACGGAACTTATAAACTTTTAGTGGTTACCCCCTGCATGTTCTAGAACCTTCTTTTTACATTGTTTCTTTTCTACCTAAATTTCCAGAATTTTTTTCAGTTGTATTTTTAATCGACTATACAACTACACACTAAATACAAACTCCTAAATATCACAAAACAACTAAAAAAATCTAACTCCCCAAGTTATTTTCAAATTCCTTTGCTGCCTCTGATCTTACCTTTTACACAGATGATGTTATATATACATCCTTTCAGGTCTAGCTCTTGCATTTTCTCTCACTTTTTCTGTTTCTTCATCATTTTCACAGTTGTTATCCACAGTGATGTTCTGGTATTATTATACCAGCGTATCCTTGAGTAAGGGAACTGAAACAGAAAGGCATGGACTTCTGCACCTTTTGCCTCTGGCTGGGACCCCACTCTCTGTAATTGTAATTTTTTTTTTCTGTTACATAAATGCAGTGAAAATCTCAATTTCTGTCACCCTTCATTATCAGCTCTTTTCTCATCCACAGTGCAGTGACAGTTTTAGCCTTTAATTTTTTCAAAAGTGCCTGGAGTCAGGTAAGGAAACTTATTTAGGTCTAGGAACTATGTTTTTGTTTTATTTTTTCCCAGGTATGAAACTTTTTGAGTTTTTTGTTCATTTATTTTAGTGAAAGTATCTTTTAAAATACTGTACAATCAGCCGTTGTTTTTATTAACATTGATGTGAAAGAGTTCTGCGCCCTCCAGTTTCCAACAAGCATCCATCTGTGGGCCCCTTCTCTCCCACACCTTTGCCTTCCCCGTTATCTGATCTACAACAAATCTTTGCCCTTTGCACTTATCCTATGTCTTCTTGTTTTCTTTAGTAATCCTGTTTTGAAGGCCATTTTCAGGGCTTTTGAAAATCTCCCGTAAGTTTCTTGTCAGGTTAAAGACTTAAACAAGGACAACAGCTTATTTTTCCTCCATAGAAATGAGATTGATCTGCATCCTAACAATTTGCCTTCTCCAAGCACAGACTTTTCTTTCTCTGGTCTCTTGTCTCCTACCTCTTGTTTGTTAAACTGTTTGAGCAACAGATATTTTCACTAGACCTTTATACCTCCTGCTTGCCTTCCCTGCACACACGTGGTTACTTTTATTGTTTGACCTTTCATCACCAGGACTGGAATCTATATGTTCACCTTTGACCCAGGCTTGTTTTTTACAGAACTAAACTTTCTGAAAAGGCATTCATGACCTACCCTGTCACATCTTTCCCAAACATCAACATTTTAATTCTCCATCCCAATAGCCAGTATAGGGCTTGGCATATCAGAGATACTCAGTAAATTTTTTATCGCATGAGTGAGTAAATTATTTCCCTTAGTCATTTTACCATTTTGTCTTTATCACCCACATTTTCTGTATCATTAAGGCTCCTGCTGTCTTCTCAGTTACCATAGCCCGACCCTGGTTCAGAGCTTAACCATCCCCACTTGGACTGTTTCAGTACTTTCCTTCTCGACCACCTGCCTTCAACCTTGCCTACTTCAGCTCTGCCCTGTATCACAAAACATATCCATGAACGTCAGAGGAATTTCACTGAAACATTTATTCAGGGGCTTCTGGGTTTGTTACCATTTTGTTTCTTGCTATCATCCCCACTTATCTTTCTCTCCTGCTACACATTGCCTAATACTCTGATTCAAGCAAGGGAGTGGACCTGTTAACCGCCCCTGCACTCAGCTCTCCACTCTACCTTTGAGCAACTTGTGCTCATCCCCTACCCTGAGCCTTCTTTCAGTTTGTGACTAAAGATTCACCTCCATCAACTTCTCAGACTCATCCCCCTTGCTTAGACACGGTCTTTGCTAACTCTAGCAGTGGTCGGTTGCCGAGCAAGAACAGGGGCAACACACCCCGTTCTGTTTTGTTTAATACACTTTCCAAGCAGAGTAACCATTCACTGACTTGCTTGCCACATGTTTCAGCATTTACTCTGCATGGCCAGACTTTGAATCAGATGCTGGGATACAAAATATTTTAGAAATTCATGGAAGTCATTACTCCTTGCAGTGTCCCTCCAAAGTAGATACATTAATTTTCTTAATTTTGTCAGTGGATGAAATTTGGTAGCTGTCTGAAGATGAAAGTACTTTTGCAAGATGTCTTGAGCATCCTAAAATAAATCTTCCAAGTGATTCTAACTTTTTTCCTGTCTCTAAAAGAATAGAGTAAGTGTCCAAAGATGTATGTTCCATTCTAATCTGTACAGGATCCCCAAAACCTAAAGTTGAACTCCTTTACTCTTAGCATCCTTTGGATGCTGTTCCTGGGAAATTCATCATTTTCCTCTCTCCTGTATTTTCAATCTCTTTAATCCTTTTAGATTTTGGTGACCAATTTGGATTTCCACGATGAGCAGAAGCGCCGGAACCTCAATGGGACACTTCATGAGCTCCTCCGAATGAACATCGTCCCCATTGTCAACACAAATGATGCTGTTGTCCCCCCAGCAGAGCCCAATAGTGATCTCCAGGGGGTAAATGTGGGTAAAGTATTCTCATGGGTTGAGCATGCTGTAGACCTTAATGCCGTGCTTTGCTGCATGTACTAACACCCAGAGTTTGGCATAAACAAGATGGAGAGATTGGGAGAGAAGCTGACATCCTGGAGCAGTGACTGCATAAGCTCTTCTGAAGTCAGGGGGTTTCATTCAACCGAGAGAGGTGCGATAGTGGCTTACCATGGTGCTGCGAGCATGGCTTGTATATGTCCGCGGATAGAAGGGTCCATGTCTAGAAAGGGGGTTACCGGTAGGCATGGTGTTTTGCAGACTGAAGGGGTCTGTGAGAGCTGTCATGCACGCATGGTCGTTAATTTTGTCTGCCAGAGTCTAGCTGAGCACTTCTGTGGACTTCTTTTTGAACTGCATAGCTCAGTCACTTAGGGCTTTTTGCCTGCTTTTTAGGTCATTAGTGTGAAAGATAATGATAGCCTGGCTGCCCGTCTGGCCGTGGAAATGAAAACCGACCTCTTGATTGTTCTTTCCGATGTAGAAGGTACAAAGTAATTCCTTTCCTTTTATCCAGTCTTTGTTTTAAATATGTTGCGTGTGAGCACATGGGTTCCCAAGTTTGAGTCCTTCTGATTTTTTTTAACTATGGACAGTTATTTTCTGAGCCATACGGTCTGAAAAGGGTTTTATGACTCAAAAGAAAGTGGGGATTCTGGGAGATGCAGTTTGAATACTTAAATGTCATTTCTAAGTACATTAGTTTTGTCTTTTATAACAGCTTAATGGAGATATCATTCATGTAACATACAATTCATCTGTTTAAAATTTACAGTTCAGTGATTTTTAGTGTATTCATACAGTTGTTCAACTCTCACCACAGCTTAGAACATTTTTTATCATGCCAGCAAGAATTTCTGTACCCATTAGCAGTCACTCCTCACTTCCCCTCAAACTCTCTAGCCCTTGGCAACCTCTAATCTACCTCCTGTCTGTATTGATTTGCCTATTCCGGATATTTTGTATATATGTAACATGTGATCCTTTCTGACTGACTGCTTTCATTTAACATAATGTTTTCACAGTTCATCTATACTATACCGTGTATCAGTACTTCATTTATGTTTACTGCCAAATAATATTTCACTATATAGATATACTATATTTTATTTGTGTATTCATCAGCTGATAGACATTTGTGCTGTTATGACTAATGCTGCTGTGAGCACTCATATATGTTTTGGTGTGAACATGCTTTTTACTTTACTGCTGGAGCATATGTTTAGCCTTTTGAAGAAGTACCAGGCCGGCTCCCAAAGCAGCTGCACCATTTTACGTTCTCCCAGCCGTGTAGGAGGGTTCCAGTTTCTCCACATCCTCTCTAACACTGTCCTCTTGTTATTTGCCTTTTTGATTATAGCCATCCTGGTGGGTGTGAAGTGATACCTCACTATGGTCTTGATCACTTTCTGGTTTTAGTGTAAATCAGATGACAGATGATTTTAAATCGGAGCCAGTGCAGAGGATCCAGGCTGTATGGCCACCACGCTTTTGGATGTCACTCGCTCCTCTCTGCTTCCCTCCTCATGCAGGGCCCCTTCGGGCTCCATTTTGGCTCTCCATTCACTGGTCTCACTTTCTTTTTTCTTTTTGTTTTGGAGGAGGGAGGGTAATTAGGTTTGTTTGTTTATTTATTTGAATGGAGGTACTGGGGGTTGAACCCAGGACCTCTTGCATGCTAAGCGTGTGCTCTAGCACTGAGCTATACCCCTCCCCCTTCTTCTCACTTTCTTAAGCTGTTCCCACTTCAGACTTTGACCCATAAGGAATATGGTAGCTGTATCTAAAATAGGCCAAATCTAAATCTGTTCAGTTTCAGTAAATCTACACTCTTTTTTCTCACCTATACTACCTGTCAAGGTAAAGGATATGAGTTTGAGAGATCAATGTATAAAACCCAATGTGAACTATAGTAAACTGTTTTACTTCAGCCTCAAACACCAAAACTGGACATTAGCGGGCTTGTGCTCTTAACTCTGATTAGTTATCCACTGAATATTGATCTTTAGAACAATATCAGAATTTTAAATACGCTATTGGCAGGTTTGAGAGGTCGCTACAAGGAAAAAGAGGAGTCGGCAGAATATCAGAATGCTAGGAACTCCTTGGTGTCTCTGGAGAAGGTTTAGCTTGGAATTGCCCAACCTTGCTCAGACTGTTTATGGTTTCATAGCACGGTGCCTTCTGAGAAGAACCAAGCCGTGAACCCCGGGAGCTGTAGGGTGATGGGTTGAGGCGGACAGGCATTGTGAGAGTTTATTTCTCTTAGGAGAGGATGTGCATATGGCAGGATTGTGTTAAAGATTTGGAATCGTGGGGCAGAGGGGTGTATTTTAGCACTGGAAAAGTAGTAACTTCAAACCAAAACATCACTGCCCAAATGTCCTTCAGCTGGTCCCTGACCACCAGCAGTTTCTCCCTGTCTGTGTCCCCCTTAGAGCTTGACATGACCCCATTTTCTGACGCCCGCTTTTCCCCTTCCAAAGCTCTGACATGCTCTTTTCAGAGTCAAATTGTGAGGATTTTTAATTTTAGATGGTACACACATAACATTTCATGTAACTCTTACTTTACGTCACTCTACTCAGTTATAAATGGGACATAGGCTTTGTGGTGACAAATGCAGACTGAATGCCAAGAGTCATACGCTCTTCTGTTGACTCAGCCTAACCTTCACAGCAGCTTACCCATAACGTAGGGTGTATAATCAGTGACTGTTTCCAAGGATACTGTGAAAGTTATTGAGAACCTGTTTCGTATTTCATGCCCCTGGAAATAAGTCATATTAAACAGTATACAGCTGCTGTGCTGTTTCTGCAAAAGCCACTCATCTTTTTCAGTTGCATCCTTAAGTAGCAGTGGCACAGGTGAAGACAGCTTCCCTGTAGACAGTGGGCAGGGCTAGTAAATTTTGTATCAAGGATATAGCCATGCTCTGATGCTGGCAAACATTCATTTATCAAGCAAGGTTATACAAGCATGTAAAATGCGTCATCCTGGAGCTGTTTTTCAGTGTGAGTAGACTATACGGATCTCTTGACCTCTTCCTGTTAGAGCTGGTGGAATAGCAGAATTTATCTGGATGAGTCAAGTACAGAGTGGTTGGCAGGTACCCAGGGAGGTCTGTCTTCCGTTAAACAGTATTACCAACTCTTGTCTACTTTTTAGGCCTCTTTGACAGCCCCCCAGGGTCTGATGATGCAAAGCTTATTGATATATTTTATCCTGGTGATCAGCAGTCTGTGACCTTTGGAACCAAGTCAAGAGTGGGAATGGGTGGCATGGAAGCCAAGGTAAGAATCTGGTGCCGTTACTGCCTGTAACAGTTATAAAACCAAAGCAATATTGTGTCCTCCTTACTTTTGTAATTGTTTGAGGGCTAGCGCACATACACACTTAAAGACACACATATCTAAATATAGGCTCTATGCATATTGTGTACCTACATTTAGTCATGTCTTAGTATGTATTTTTATTAATAATATATAAAGAGTCTGTTCATATTGTAAACTCCTCAAGGGCAGGGTTGATATATTTTTCATAATTCATAAGTCCTCTAAATGTTAGTATTAGAGCTCAAATGTTTCTTGATGAAATCTTTCAAAAAATTCTTCTCTCCCTTTAGTTGTTCAGGTGTAGCATCATATGTAGCAATAGCAGAAACGAGGACAAGAACCTTACAAAAGGTCAGAGTACTCAGGGTCAGATTCTGGTTAAACAGATGGCTGGACACTAAGTTGAGTCACAGTAAGTCAAATGTAGAAGTTACGTGTCCCAGTACCGGAGAGTCTTAGAGCGAACACGCTGAGCGTGAAGGGCAGATTGGTTCATCTTTAGACAACACACTTCAAGGCTGGGGTGGGAGGAGTGCATGGGCTGAGCGTGTCTTCAGAGCCTCTGGACTTTTCCAAATATTCCTGCAGATATTTAAATTGCTCCATATTACATTGTATTTTCTATGTTTTACGTGTTTAAAGTGCTGGTGACTAAACTCTGCAAAGGTCTGAATCTCATCCATGGATCTAACCTTTCCTATTAGGTGAAAGCAGCCCTCTGGGCTTTGCAAGGTGGCACTTCTGTGGTCATTGCCAACGGGACCCACCCGAAGGTGTCTGGGCACGTCATCACAGACATCGTGGAGGGCAAGAAAGTTGGCACCTTCTTTTCCGAAGTAAAGCCTGCAGGTAAGTAGTTCTTCATAGAGTCCCATAGTCTGTGGATGATGGACCACTAGCTAGTGACACCATGGTGTCCTAGATGGAGCTGAAAACTGAGCTCTCCCTTTGGGAGTAGAGCTTACAAAACTAATGTGCTAATATTATGAAATATGGTGTTGTTTTGAACACTACTTGCAAAATTGGATTTCACTTTGCTTTTGTAAAACTCATCTAACCTGCCTAACTAGGCCTCCTGTTCTCTCTGAAATCACTAAGCTAAAGAAGATAAGCATCCATTTTTCTCAAGAAACATTTGCTAGGCCCATGCTGGATGCCAGGTCCTAATGAACACGGGAGGTGCAAAGATGCATGAGATATGGTATCTTCTCTCAAGTGTTCACAAGGATAGAATTGCCTTATAATCTACAATTCAGAAATGCAAACACATTAAAAAAATATAACCCAAAATGGAATTGAGAAGAACTCTAGGAGACATAAATCATATTGTCTGCCCTGAAAATGCAGGCAAGTTCTTGTATTCATGCCTGAGTTAATCCGGTATGCCCTTCTGCCATCTTATTGGTCAGAATGATCTCTGGATGTGAAACAAATGCATCAAGACACTGAACATGCACTCCAGGCATGCGATGAGCCTATACTGATGCAGGATAGTGAGAGGGGGGTACTCTGACCGTGAGCTGATGTTTGCATATGTTCTCGCAGGCCCTACCGTTGAGCAACAGGGAGAAATGGCTCGATCAGGAGGAAGGATGCTGGCCACTTTGGAACCTGAACAGGTAATAACCTGAGCTGATAGTTTTGTTAGTTTTCAGAGTGAGTCATGCTGTGAGGTTTAGGGCACAGACAAGCCTTTATTCCTTGTGCCCCATAAGAGTTAGATCTGAGTTACAAGTCTGATTCAAATTCATTCTGCCTTTTTTCTTTTTCTAAATTTTATTTTCCCCTTTGTCTTTTGTAGGCTGAAGTCTAAGGTAGCTTTGCGTCACTGTGATGTTTTGATCAAAAACATCATGAAAATGATGAGACCAGAGAGGCTAGTCCTGCCTCATACTAGGCGTGGAAATGTAGGAAAGTTACTTGTCCCAGCCCACCCAGATCCCCTAGCTTACCTATCAGATGGAAGCTCCAGAGCCTGCTCCACAGTCACAGCCCTGCCCTGTCCTCGGTGAATCAGTCAAGTAGCAGACACGATGAAATGTGAGGAGGCCTGGTGGAAGCAGGGGGTTGGCTTCCCGAGGGCTGTGGTGTTAAGGCTGGATTTGAGGATGATGTATATAGGTTTCTTCTGGGGAGTACTTTGACCTGAGAAAGAAGAGAATTTAAAATAACTACAAGTAGAGAAAGGAAAGACCAGGAGGACCCTAGCTTCTCTCTCAAACACTTCCTTTTACTCCTTCAGTAATCACCACACTGATTTGCCATTTCCTAATCTAGATGGGTCAGGATTGGGGTCTCCAGCATCCAGGACTGGGTTTTCCCCTTTGACTGTATTCATTTAATAAATAGTTGTCAAAAAAGAAAGACTAGATGTAAAAACTTACCTGGGAAATCAGCTATACAGCTAGTGCAATTAAATAGGTGGAGATGTGTGTATCATGCTGATTCGAAGTGCGGACAGTTTGTGTAATTCCTCATGCCCTCTCCCCCGCCACGAGGCCGTGGTTTGCTGATCATCATGATCAGGAGTAGTAAAAGAGGAAGAAAAGTAAGAAGAACTAGGGGGAGTTAGCAGTGAGAGAGAAAGGGAAAATGAGTGGAGCACTGGTGGGAAGTGAGTGATACGAAGTGAGGAGATGTCAGTCATTGGTGCCCTTGGCTTTAGGAGTCAGGCCTGGCTCTCAGAACAGTAGGTTTAAAAGTGTGGTGTGCATTCTTCTTGGGTTAACATGTTTACTTATTTGTTTTAATGTTTTTTGTGTTTTGTTTTTTATCCTAGAGAGCAGAGATTATCCATCATCTGGCTGATCTGTTGACGGACCAGCGAGATGAGATCCTGCTAGCCAACAAAAAAGACTTGGAGGAGGCAGAGGGTAAAGACCAGGCATTTTAGAGTCAATGTTATGGAGCGGTTTGTTTTGATTTTCATTCTTTGTTTTACTAATAATTCTTATATCACAGTCTGCCTAAAGTCAGGATTGTTACAGGAGAAGTTGTATATTATGTGTCATTTTATTGAGGGTTGGTGGCTGGTGTTCATTGGGATTTTTCCAACCACACACCTCCCTCCATCCCCTTTCCTAGATTCTCTAATACACCCCGCCCCCCACCCCCAAGGGCTTTTTCCATTCCCCTCAGGTCGCCAGCTATGGCTACCATGGCAGTTTCAAGGAAAAAAAAAAGAGAGGGGAGGGTATAACTCAGTGGTAAGAGTGCCTGCTTAGCATGCACAAGATTCTGGGTTCAATCCCCAGCACCTCCATTAAAAACAAATAAATGAATAAACCTAATTACTCCCCAAAAAATAAAGTTAAAAAATAATGAAAGCATTTTTTAAAAAGAAAAGTTTTTAAAACAGACTGAAAAAGAAAGATTGAGGACCTCACTATTTTAGACATTAATAGCAGCTAACATTTACTGAGGTCTTTCTGTGTTGCTAGGCATTTGGACTAAGGGATTAACAGCCAGTCTCATTTTGTCTTTACAACTTAGTACCTGCAAGGTGCCTGCTATTTATTATCCTTATTTTACAGAGGAGAAAACTGAAGTACAGAGAAGTTGTCATGTGCCTAAAATCATATGGCCAGTGACAGATCTGTGAGTCAAACCCAGATGGACAGTACGTATCAGATAGTCATAGAAGTAGTTTGTGCAGCCTGTGATGAGAGATAGCTTATCTCCTGGTTCCTTAACCAGGGTGTAGGCCGCCATCCAGGAATGCCCTCCAGGTGCTACTGGTGGAGTAAGGGAGATGGCTGACCTCACATTGCAGGCAACTGAATATGTAGTCTGGTGAGCCCTCACTCTTTCCTTTTTCTTAATTCTCTGTCTTTTCCACCCAAAATAATGGAGGTTGATTTTAGGGAGTTTTTAAATTTCCTTTTCTCTTTAATAAATGTGTCTCAAATAAAACATCAAAATTTGTGGTATTCCCTTCAGAGAAACCTTGCAGGGCTCATCAACATTGTTTTCATTCCTTAAAACATTTTTGAACCATTGCTCTAAAAAGTCCTTTAGATTTTACATCTGGTCTTTTGAATTTTCACAGTATTGGAAAGCCATAAAATAAATTTTCAGAAATGAAAGAAATCTTTATTGACATCTTATCCATCCAATTCTTTAAAATAAAGGAATTAAGACCCACAGAGGTTAAAGCTGTTGCTCAAGGTTACACACCTAGCTATTGGCAGAGTTCTGACTTCTTGTCCCAGTTCTCTCTGGAAATCCTCAAGGACACATGGTGACTTAAGAACAGAGTCTCGGGTATAAATGAGCATGGTAATCATCTTTGACTCAGTGCACCCATTTCAGGAAATGTATCCTAAGAAAATATTTCAAGAGGATAAAACAGCTCTAAATGTAAAGATTTGTAGAGCAAGATTATCCCATTGAAAACTGGAAACACCCTGAGTATCTAATAATATAGGTGCAGTCATGTGCATTAAACTATCAACTCGATGGAATATTTAGTAGTAATTAAAATAATTTTGCAGCATGGAAAATGTACATGCATTCTGAGGTGAAAAACTGGAGTATAATATTTAACATGCACTATAATTAAAACAGTTTTTAACACGTGAGGAGAAATGAAGAAAATAAATTGATATAATCAGTTGATAGAACAATAGTTTAGTTGTTTCTTAATATAAGGTTGGTTCTTTCCCTCTGAAGTAGAAATCTTTATTTATCTTGGTGGTTATGACTATAAAAAAGAAGAGGAAATTTTCCATAATTATATTCAACAGTAACCCTGGTAATGATTTGTGATGGTTTTCCTGAGTATATGTACATGTTCATATACTGTACATGTATATATGTGAGTGTGTGTGTGTGGAGAGAGGAAATCATAATCACACCATGCATACTGTTATATTAAACTTAAAGAAAATTCTGTATGTGAACTTACCATAATTCTATTTAAATCTTTATTTCAAAAGAAGACATCTTTATTGTTCCCAATTATAAAAATAATTCACTCATTATAAAAATTAAAATAATACAAAAGATAGATAGAGATCATCACCATTCTTGATGCTTTTCAACATCGCTGTGCACATGTATATATGCAGTGTTTGATAAATAGAATCGTATACATACTGTTTTGTAGTTTGCCTTTTTCACAGACTGTATCTTGGACAGCTTTCCATATCAGTAAATGTAAGTGTTATTTATAATTTCATTGTAGCCCATTGTCCGAATATGTAGGTGGAATCCAGTTTCCCACTGTTATAAAAAAGTGATGATTACATGCAAGTTTGCTCATGCAAATGATACATTTCTGGAACTGAAATTGTTGGCACAAAGGGTGTGAGTGTCCACACCTTTATATGATGACTGTATACTGCCAAACTGTTCCCCTCCACTCCCAGGAAAGCTGTGTAAATAGCATGTTGTTGTCTCCCTAGGACCCCCTAAGTTCCTTGTCTGTTCCTAATGCAGCCACATGTTCAGTAAAACAGCCAGAGCCTACCCAGGTCTCCTGCTTCATCGTGTCTTCTTCACTTCTCTTCAGGGCGACTTGCAGCTCCTCTGCTGAAACGTTTGAGCCTCTCCACGTCTAAACTGAACAGCCTGGCCATCGGTCTGCGGCAGATCGCGGCCTCTTCACAGGACAGCGTGGGACGTGTTCTGCGCCGGACCCGAATTGCCAAAAACTTGGAACTAGAACAAGTGACTGTCCCAATTGGAGTTCTGCTGGTCATCTTTGAGTCTCGCCCTGACTGTCTGCCCCAGGTATGTGAACAGTGCCTGCCATTGGGGTGGGGAAATTGGAGGAAGAGCATCTTTTTAGGACTCAAGATAAATCTCCGAAAGATATTTTCCTTCCTCCTTCCCTTCTCTTCTTCCTTCTCTTCCTTTCTTTTAGAAAGTCTTACCTTTTTTTCCCCCAAAGATTATTTTATTGATTCCTTCAGTAATTCTAAAGTAGGTATTCATATGTCCATTTTACAGTTGAAGAAACTGAAGCTTATGGGAGGTAATATTCCTGTCACACTTAACAAGGATGGATCTGGGCCTTGAGCCCAGATGAACCTCTCATGCCATGATGCGGGAGCATGTTTCCAGATACCTTAGTTCTCTGGAGCACTTTGTTCCCCGCCCACAGAATCCCTGCTAGCCTCCTGCAGGCTCGTTCATCTTGTAACTGGTTTTGCCCATGTGAAGAAGACCTAAGTATTATCCATGTCACAGATGGCTTCCTTTAGGTTCCTGTAGGTACATCTTTTAGAAAAAAGAACTTTCAGTACTTAATGGAAACTAGCACACAACCCCCATTAAGAAATCTGATGAATCACAGGCTAATGTGGAGAAACCGTGTAGCAAAGTTCTTACCAAGCAGCCTGCTGTGGTGGTAGAGTGTGGCCTTGCTTGTTGCCCTAAACTCCCTCCTGGAAATCTGGAACCGGTTCCCCACTGGACTGTCCAGTAGGATGATAGCAGCTCTTTCTTTGCACTAGCCCCAGAGTCTCAAAGAGAGGTTCTATTTAAAAACAAACAAAAAATCAGTACTCTTGTTGGCAGGGCATCAGTGACCTTGGGAGTCCCACATGCTCAGTGGAGGATGCTCCTTAACATGTCCTAAAAGCAGCTGGTCCACCAAGGGACTCCCATACCATCAGGGGTCTGTCCTCGGCACCTGGCTGGTGCTGTCACACTGCCCCCTTCTGGCTACGTACCTGTCTCACAGAGGTGCCCCAGAGATAACTGCAGGATTCCCCTCAGCTGGTAGAGAGGGATCCCAAGTCTCTGCAGACCAGGTCCGTGACGTTCGCTGCCTCGCTTTATCTGTACTAGTGGATACTTCACAAGGGAAAAGGTTTCCTCTTTAGCCAGTTATAGCTGAGGTTCCTTACCTGGGATCTTAACCTTGGATGGCATTCCAGAATCCATGAATCCTAAAAGTTATATACAGAATTCTGTGTTTTTGCATGTATCTGGAAAAAGTTTACATAATTTTTGTAAGGGGTTCATAAGCAACAAAAACAAACAAAAAAGGATTAAGAACCGCTAATCTTAACGGAGAGTACATGTTCAGGCTAGATTTTTTTTTATAAAGTTTGTTTGACTACATTACAAAAACAGTAAGATTTTCATTCATCCTGAGAGCATTCAGGGAGTTCTACCTCAGGCCTCAGATGATCGGGTCAGTGTCATGAGCTCCTTGCTCTGAGAGGGCTCCTCCTACGTCACCTCTCCAGATAGGCTTGTACTTCTTCCCAGCAGCCTCGGCCGCAGCTGTCCGGGGGCTGGCAGGAGCTCCAGTCCCTTCAGGTTCTCAGCACCAGGCATTCAGAGCTCTCAGGACAGTGACGGGGCCAGGGTGGGATGTGGTCAGAGATGCTGCCCCACCGCAGCCTCAGTCAGGTGGAGCAGCACTTGAATCAGGAGGGGTCATGTGATGCTGGCCACCTAACTTGGGTGGCTCTGTAATGATGCTAAGGCAGCTATATAGTGTAGTTCCTGGGATCCAGTGCTTTGGGACTGAAGTCAAGGCTCCCAGCCCTGCCATTTATAAGCTGTGTGACTGTCACCAACCTCTCTGGGCTTCAGTGTCCTTATCTGTAAAGCAGGGGATGAAACAGGTACTTAATTCACCGGAATGGTGTGAAGATTAAGTGTTTAACACGGTGCTGGGCACAGAATATGTGCTCAGTAATTGGTAATGTTCTCGTTTCTATTACTGCTTTTTCCCTTTGGTTCACTGCTCCCCTCTTTGATCTGCAGGTGGCAGCCTTGGCTATTGCAAGTGGTAATGGCCTGTTACTCAAAGGAGGAAAGGAGGCTTCACACAGCAACCGGATTCTTCACCTCCTGACCCAGGAGGCCCTCTCTATCCATGGAGTCAAGGAGGCTGTACAGCTGGTAGGTTCCTGGGAATGGGCCATGGAAGGCCAAGCCACTGGTGCAGGCAGGCTGGGTTAGAGCAGCAGCAGGTCCTGTGTGCCTGCTGACGGTGGATATTGCCCGGGCTGCCTTGGCTAGGTGGGTCTTGCGTGGCTCAGGAAGTCCCCTCATACAGCTGTGTCCTCACACTGTTGATTTACAAGAATGCCTGCCAGCCCTTTATTCTTTAGGTCACAGGCAGCAGGATACCAGTCCCAGAGTGTGAGGCCCGGGTTCTGCTCCCTGGCAGTGATTTAGGCCGAGTCAGATGAGATACGTTGTATGAAGGGTTGCCATGCAGCTTATAAGCATGAGGTCACACTGTTAACACTGCTATTGTTGTGGTCATTATTCTAACCATCATTTCACTCTCCTCAACTGTCCAGTGGAGCTTTTGAACTACTAGGTAGTTTTGTTGAGCACCTACTGTGGTCAAAGCACTTTCATCCATTGTCTCATTTAATCCTCACAACAACTCTATGAGAAACATACCGTTAGTTATTAAGTCCACTTTATGGATAGGAGAAGAATAGGCTCATTGTTGAAATAACTCACCCAAAATTGCAGTCTGCGGTAGAGCTTAGTTTTGGAGCTAGGCTGACTTCACGTGCTTCCCTTTTTCCCTTGAGGCCCACTTGCTCCAACATTGCAGGGTGCTGTTGGCTGCTGAGAGAGTGCTACAGACCTGCCGCGTTACTTGCTCGCCGACGAGAAGCTAGGTTATTCTTACAGCAACATGGTGGAAAGAGCACAGACTTTAGGGGTTGAAGTCCCAGCTGCACCACATCCTAGTTTAATTCAACAAGTTTCCTCCTCCTCCTTCACATACATGCAGTAAAGTATCCTAATCTTCCGTAAACAACTCTGTGGTTGGGTCCACACGTGTGCACGTGCGCGCGTGCCTGCGTATCAAGATACAGAACATTTCCAACACCCCAAAGGCTCCCTGGGGACCTTCCCCGTCAGCGTGTCCCACCCCCACCTCCAGGTAACTGCTTCTTTTACTTCTTTCATATTCATTTTCTTTTGCCTGTTCTTGAACTTCATATAAATGAAGTCATTCAGAATGCACTGTTTTATCTTGAGTTTCTGTTGTTCATTATGTCTGTTCTTATGTCTTTCTCCTTTTTTTCACAATGTAGTGTTCCATTTACATACACATACTACAGCTTATCTTTTCTTCTATGAGGGACACTTGGGTTGTTTCCAGTTTGAGGCTATGCAGATTCAAGTGACTGTGACCCTTCCTGTACATGTATATTTGTATTTCTATTGTTAGTAACATGACCACATGGGGGAAAATTAAAAATCAAGACGAGAGGGAACGTGTGCATAGTCTCAGTGTTCTAACACGGCGCGTTAGTCAGTTCAGCCAGCATCCCGGGGTAGAGGTGTCAGCGGAAGTCACGGGGAGCAGTGACTCCTTAGCAAGACCCAGCTGTGATTAGAGACCCAACGGAGCTGCCGCTTCCTGGAGTGATGCTCATTGCCTGGCATTCTCTGCGCCTCCTCTGACTTCCAGAGATAGCACTTTGTGCCTCTTCTCGCATTTGTAAAATGATCTGGCTGGTGGTGTCCTAGTCCTGTCTTCCCTACCAGACTCTGAGCCCTTTGGGTAGGGACCCTGTCCTGCGTGTTTTGTAATGCAGAGCACAGCACCTAATATGCAGGGTTTGATAAGCATTTGCTGGACAGCTTTTCTGTTCCCATGATTGGGAACTTAATCTTGTATTTGGAGTAAGTTTTCACAGCACCACTTATTTCTCAGGAAGTAGAGACATTTTTCTGTAAAAGGGATGCTGCTCCTTCAGTTCTTGTGTGGTCAGGAGATGTCATCTTTATCTTTTTATTCTCTGCCTGTTCAGGTGAATACCAGAGAAGAAGTGGAAGATCTTTGCCGCCTAGACAAAATGATCGACCTGATCATCCCACGTGGCTCCTCCCAGCTGGTCAGAGACATCCAGAAAGCTGCTAAGGGCATTCCAGTGATGGGGCACAGTGAAGGGATCTGCCACATGTACGTGGATTCAGAAGCCAGTGTCGATAAAGTCACCAGACTAGGTGAGCTGGATGGGGTCCCGTTTGTATGTAGGCAGAATACTTGTGTCCTTTGTGACTCCAGATCATGTCAGTAGAAACCGTTCTTTGTCCTCCTGTTTCAGTCAGAGACTCTAAGTGTGAATATCCAGCTGCCTGCAATGCTTTGGAGACTCTGTTAATCCACCGAGATCTGCTGAGAACACCGTTATTTGACCAGATCATTGACATGCTGAGGGTGGAACAGGTACGACAAGCCCATCGCTTCTGTCTTCCCCTCCGAGATGTGGAAGCCTGTGGGGTTAGACCGGGAGCAGCTGCCGTAGCATTTAAGGCAACTGGAGAAGCAGTGTTTCTGAGCATCTGCCGTGTGCAGAGTTCTGTGCTGAGAACACAGAGCGGGTATGACACGACTATGTGGTCTGGTAGGTGGAGGAAACCCACGCATGAACAGCTTCACTCCAAAGCGGAGTGTGTTAAGTGCCAAGAGGTTTCGGAGATAAGGCAGGTTAGGTGGCAGCCCGCTGAATGCACTTCCCTGCAGCCACCCTTTTTATTCCGGTGGCATAAAGTTTATGTTTCTGAACACACATTCCTGTTTGGAGTTGATTTGAAAAGATTGTACAGAAATGATTTCAAACCAAAAATTTATATGTATCCGCCCCTCCACAAATGTCTTCAATTACTAGTGTTAATATGCTTCGTACAGTGGTATTTGGGAGTCAGCAACTTGTATAATGTCCTCTCTGGGTTATTTTCTTATCATGTCACTAAAGTCATAAACAGCCAACGCCAGTAAGTTTCAAACATGTTTGAAATTTTCTGTCAGGATGCATTTTAAGCTTTAATCTCTGATGTCTTGGCACCCTTCCAGAATTATGTAAACTGGCACAATAGTAGAGAAGGTGACTCCCAGCCTTGGTTACTTTGACCCCGAGCATGGGCATCTTCCCTTCCATCCTTTTGCTGGAAAGGAAGGCTTCAGTCAATTTATAAATGTGGCATGATCCCAGTGAGAACCTGAAAGGACAATTTTGAAAATGAAGATGTACCCTACTAATTACAAGGGAGTTAGATCACCTTATCACTCATGTTTGGGGCCTTACTTCACAGTAGTGGCCTATTTGAGCCCTTACTTATGCCAGGCACCACACTAGATTGGACTGGACAAGAGGAATGCTCTCCTGTATCCAGGAATAAAACCCCCAGGCCTGATTCAGACAAACCTACAGTATCCTTAGTCATCCTGAAGATAACCTTGAGATTCCTCAGGTCAGAACAAGCCAGCACGTATACTTCGTGCAGCACCTTGGAAGTGCAGAAAGTAAGCCAGCAGGGCGACTCACACAGGGGTGGGGTTCCGGTCCCTGGAGCATGGCTGGACCCCAGGCCTGGAGGAAGTGGAGTCCCAGGTAGGAAAGCATGCCGGACCACTGAGTGACAAGGACAGGATAGACACCACTTGTTGTGACTCAAGCCAAGGCAAGAGCTTGGTCCCAAAGACTCAAGGCATGAACACTGCCCTGGGGAGGCCTCAGAACAAGCCCTAAGTGGGATCACACTTGTGATGGACTGGGGCCCTCTTGAGCAGCTTCAGGATCCTTAAATTCCTCCAGCCAGAAGCAGGATTAGCCCCAGCGTCTGGACCTGAGCTGAACCTAGAAATGGGGCCAGACCAACAGAGTCAGAAATCTGACAAGTAACCAGTTTGAAATGGTTACCACCCAAGTGCTGTTTCCCTCTAAAGCTTCTTCCCCCGCCACCCCGGGGCAAAGGGTGTGGAAGTGTATTCGTGCCTTCTTTCTGCCTGAGCCCAGTGCCTAAGTCCACACGCAGGGAATGGGATTTTTATAGTCACGTGTTCTTTTTAGTAAAATGCCAGTAGTCAAGGGCTTATGTCGCTATCCCGTTAAATGCCTTGCACATTCTTCACATTCAAAGGCTTCCTGCTTAAATCCCTGCTCCCAGCTTTACTGGGGGCCCATTGCTGGCAAGTGGCCGCCAGCATTTTCCAAAGCAGAGCATCCTGGAGGGTGGGAGCCTGCCTCTAAAAGGAAGCAGGGACGAGCTTAGTTTCCAGGTGAGAGGAACCCCTGAGCTCATCGTCTTCAGGCTCATCTTGCTGTTGGGTCCCAGAGGGAGGGGCGTGTGCTTGCTTATTTCTGCTGTTTACGTTGTTGCCTCTGGACTTGCCCTTTCCAGGTGAAGATTCATGCAGGCCCCAAGTTTGCCTCCTATCTGACCTTCAGCCCCTCCGAAGTGAAGTCCCTCCGAACGGAGTACGGGGACCTGGAACTGTGCATTGAAGTGGTGGACAGCGTGCAGGAGGCCATCGACCACATCCACAAGTACGGCAGCTCCCACACGGACGTCATCGTCACAGAGAATGGTCAGTGTGCAGAGGCCTCCGGCGCACCGTGCCCGCCTTGTATGCCTCGATCTCCCAGGTGGCCCTGCTCCCCTCGGCCCCTCTTGGCCTGCAGAAAAACATGATCGGGGTGGATGATGATGATGTCTGGTGTTGGTGGCATTTGCTGGTTTGCTGAGTGCTTTTACATCTGTTACCTCGTTATGTTGTCACAGTGGCCCTGCGGGAGGAAGCAGGGAAGAGGTAATTAGCTCCCCTTTAAACACGGCTGACTCTGTATCAGAGGCCTTGCCATTTAATCCATGCAACTGTCTTTCCAGGCTGTTGCAGTAAACCCATTTTACCGCTGAGGAAACCAAGGTTCAGGAGGCTAAGCGCAGAACTGACTAGTTTAGAGCAAAACCAACTCCACACAGTCACTCGTTTCCCTCCACAGGGGTGCACCAAGAGACACACCTGAGGGCCAGGCACCAGAGGCCCAGTGGTAAAGGACCAGTGTGGCCATCAGGGAACTGCCAGTCAGGGGAATCACAGCATATTATAGTATCTTATAATGCTAGTAACAGCTAACAGTTCCTGAGCACTAGCCATCTGCTAGGCTCTGGGTGAGGGCCCCGTGGCTGTCAGTTCGTTTATCCTCTCCGCAAGCCGGTGAGCTGGGTGTAATTGTCAGTCCTCATTGTACTCAGGTGCAGAGAGGTTCAGAAACCCACCTGCAGTCACGGCTGGTGGGTGTGGAGTTGGACTTAAGACTTAGGCATTTGGCTCAGAACGTATAGATAGTGTAGACAGGCCGTGCCAGTCTGCAGGGAGATTCCAACCCAGTCTTTCCCAGGTAGCTGCTGCTTTGACAGCATGACTGATGAAGCAGGTTTGCCTTCTTTGTTAGATTTTTCACAAGTCTCTGTGTTTAATACTCAGGGAAGCACCTCAGGGGCCTGGTCCCTGCCCTCATCAGGCCTCGTTGAGTGGCTGGAAGCAGGGTATTCTCCATGGCCCATCCTTACTCAATTTCTTCCTTTTATCCTGCAGAGAAGACAGCAGAGTTCTTCCTCCAGCACGTAGACAGTGCCTGTGTGTTCTGGAACGCCAGCACTCGCTTCTCTGATGGCTACCGCTTCGGACTGGGTAAGAAGGAGTCTGGCTGCGGAAGAAAGGAGTCCCTTGGGACTCACTGTGTGACCCAAGGAGCATGGTGAGGGTGGAGGAGACACCTCCCCTCTCAGTCACAGGTGTGATCCAGATAATGGAGACAGACCGTAGGAGGTGGGTGCATGAGAGGGAGGGATTAAGCTGCTGTGAGCTGATAGGAGTCCTGTGTCCTAGGCATTTCTCAGGTTGAGAAGGTAGTACTTGTGTTTCCTTTTTCATGCATGAGGAAACTGAGATTCAAAGAAATGAAGCAACTTGCCCAAAGTCACGCATCGGGCGTTCAGACCCAAGCCTGTGCGAGTCCGGAGCCTGGCTGGCTCCCACCATGTATAAGAGACCACAGCATGTCTACACGTGGGGGTTGTGACAGGTGTGCATGCCAAGGTCCCATGAGAGCACTGCCGCTGCAGGCTTACTCCTTCAGAGAGACACAGCCAGATTGCCTCAGAGCTAGGAGTTCCCCCTGTTTTGTCCGAACAGGACAAAAGAAGGCGTTAATACCTATGCTGGTTAGAGTGTCAGCGTCAGAAACAAACATGTCAGCCCAGAGGTTCAAGGTTTGAAGCAGACTTTGAAATAAAAAGCTTCAGAAAGACACCCTTCGCCCTTTCCATTATTAGTGATAAAATCTCCATCCCCTGGTGGGGCTGGGGTATAGCTCAGTGGTAGAGCACATGCTTACCGTGCATGAGGTCATGGGTTCGATCCCCAGTACCTCCATTAAAAGAAAAAACCTCCACCCCCTAGTAATACAAGGATTCTTTAGACAGTCTCTGATTTTCCAGGATGTCATTATGCAGAGCTCCAAAAAGGCGATTATGGCAGGTCTGAAAATTATTTCAACTACTTAAAATATTTTAATCCCTCTGAACTTTTGAATCAATGATCTGCCTAGAGAACTAGTTCTCAGTGAATTGTTAAAGGTTATCAAAGGGGAACTTTGCTCAGTTATTCTTAGTCATTGGACACTTTATTTTTAGTTCCCTTTCTGTTAAGTTAGGATTTTGATTTAATTATCACATCACTTGCACTGATCTTCGTATCCCGCGTTTTTGAGGAGGAAGTAGCAGCATACTCGCAGGGGCTGAAGTGCCCGGCTTTTAGTGGAAGTCTGAGGAGGGGGAGGGGCAAAGACCACTCATTGTCTTCTCATCACCCACTCAGAGCAGAAGCTCAGGCTCTGGTTGAGTTAAATTCCTGTGAAATGCATTAATAATGGTGACAGTATTTATTGAGCACTCACTCTATTCCCAGCACTGTGCTGAGTGCATCACATGCATTATCTCACTTAGTTCCACATAATGGACTCTATTATTTGCCTGCTTTTCCGAATGGAAAAACTGAAGCAAGAGATGGTTAGGCAGCGTGCCCAGAGTCGTGTGGTTTCACATTATTAAACCAGAATTTGAAGACAGTAGTTGAAGACTCTCCTTGCCAACCATGACCCCAAGCACAGCCCCACAAGAGTCTGTGCCCTGCTCTTCCCTGCCCGCAGCACCTCTCCACTGCTCCTGCCCTGGCCGGCTCTGTCTCCTTGTCCAGGTTTCAGCGAAAGGCACCTCGTCAGGGAGCCTCCCTCTGCCCACACATTCTCTGTCCTGGTGCTTTTCATTGCATCTCATCGCCACACACAATTATGTGTTGAACTGTTCTTTGGCTACCTTGCCCACAAGGACACAAGCTCCACGAATTGCATCCATCATCCGCCACTTCATCCCCAGGGCCTAGCCCAGTACTTGCTCAGTGAAGTTGTGATGAACAAGGGAACCCTGCCTCCACTGCACGTGGTGCAGCACACCAGGCGAGGCTCAGGAAACTCCCGAGGCCCTGTGTCTAAAGCAGGAGCAAGAGGGAGGGAAGTGAACAGCACCCTTCTGTGTAGTC